GTGAGAACAAGGTGTCATGGGGAATAGAATCGGTTGAGAGGCTCATCCCGCCCCCCAATCCCTCATATCCATCTTCCCCTCCTGCACAGACTTCCTGCTCTCAAGTGGAGAACAAGGTCAGAATCATATACTGTGTGACACCAAGCACTCCACCAAAACTTTAAGGATTGTAACATGTAAAGTGTCAAAAAGTCCACCAATTAGAGTAACATGAAGTCATCTTATCATTTTATTTTATTTTATTTTATTTTCAGCATCCTTTGTTTACTTCCAGGTTTAAATTACATTTTGAATCCCAGATTTTCAATTTAGTCTCAGAAGTTTGGACCCAACTGTACATGAATTCAGTTTATTCACTATTCAATCTAATGAAAGCATCATCATTTTATACAGTTCTATATAAAGTAAGCAAATATCCTGTGCGCTCGCATCTGTTTCTCAAGAACATTTATCTTATACTGTAAAGGCATTCTGTAACCCATTTACTTACTCCACTATATCTGGGACTTATTTGTGCCTTTATAACGGAGTAGAATGCTGCAGAAAGCTTGAAAGATGTGTTTTAGTATAAGACTCTTTTCAGAGAAGTACACTAACGTCTGGGAGTGCTAGTGGAAAACAGTGTGGGTTGAAAGAATGAGGTTGACATATGCGCAACCCATGAAACCTCACGCTGTGAATGATGAATCCATTTGATCAAGTCACTTTTTTGTTTCAGACTCAAAAGAGACATCGGGACCTTTAAATTAAACAGTCCCAAAGACTTAAATTAGATTTAGATTTAATAGAGTATTAGTATTCAAATAGAGGAGTACGTTCCCCTGAGAATGTCTATGAGCTTTTTAGTCTCAATTGCTCAATGGCTCATGGGAACAGTGAGATACGGTATGGATGGTGTTTGTAGGCAAGTGTCTGATGGGTGCAGGGATAATGCCAGAGAGATGCCGATCTCCGCTTTTAATGGAATGTCTGTCGTTGTTTCAAATGATCAGCCCTGTCACTTTAAACTGTGAATTTTGATGCTTCCGACACCTCTCCTTACCAACATCAATCTAAGACTCAAAAGCAAAAGGTAGAGACGACAAACACGCACACCGAGGGTCAGCCAGGGACACGGATACTACCGGTGGAACAAACACCTCATCAAATGTCTGCCAATACAAGCAGCGTCTTGTGCGCAGGAGAAATGTGATGGGAATTGCATTTATCAGAGCTGCTTCTCTGTCTCCTCTTGATTTAAAAAGGATGGAAGGATTGGGCGAAATTGTGTTTGCTTGCATTATGCTGTTATTGTGTCAATTTTCCACACCAGAAACAAAGGAAGGGAAATATGCGTGTCATATTTTATTTTAAATTGCCAGACATTTCCTTATATTCACAAAAGACCCTCTTGCTTTAGCTGCTGTCGTGAATGACAGTTTGAGTGAAAATTGAGGCCGCTGTTGTCTGGTATCCTATCAGGGAGGTGTTTTTAAAATTGAATCAGAGATGTGCCTATCAGAGGTTCTCGTTTACGCGTTGCCCTCAGATGGAGACAGAAACAGGAGAGGACATGGGGAAAAAAGGTGGCAGTGTTTCATGTATGCTAGTTCACCTTGTAGAGGTGACACCATTTAGCATATTAAGAGCGTTTTAAACAGGTGCAGGTAGACACGGTTCTCAGTAATCAGCTTTTCTGATGTAAGCTCCTGATACATGGATTTTACAGACTCTCCAATGTCAAGGTCCTCTTCTCCTTTGTAGTAATGCTGGAGTGCGGTGCAGAGATGTCAGGCGCATACATGTACAGGCAGCTTTGTGGCACACTGTTTTTGGTTTATAAAGATTATTTGCTACCTTTTGACTTAATCAAACCTGTATGTGGTAGGTAGGACAATGATGTGTTTTTTTTTGTTGTTTTGTTCAAAAATACAATGCCACCTCTATGATTTGATTTCTTAACATTAACAAACATGGTATTATAATGAATCATAAAATCTTAATTATATTATTTAAAAAAAAACTGTAAATCTCATAAATCTCATGTGGTGTAGTGACATGATATTTATATAATATATACACATACATTTTTTATATTACAAATACCATGTCACCACACCACATGAGATTTAAAGAAATAGTTCGTCCAAAAATGAAAATTTCCTGATTATTTACTCACCCCCAGGCCATCCAAGATGTATATGACTTTCTTTCTTCAGTCGAAGAGACATTAAAGTTTTGGAGGAAAACATTCCAGGTTTTTTCTCCATGTAATTCAAGTGAACAAGAGAACTACAGAAAAAAATGTATTTTTAATGGCTCAAAGACACTTATCTATTTTAATTTAATTATAATTTAACATTATAATCTTTCTGGTTGACAAATGTTCTTGCAACCAATGTGGTGGTTCTTGTCATGTACATCACACTTGACCAACAACGTGCATATGTCAGCTGGACCAAGGCAAACATTTGTAGGATATAACTTTTTTTTTTCTGAAGATGACTAATTGTTTCACTACAGAAGAAATAGTTTTCCAGTATTTACAAAATATCATATATGTGTATATATAAAATCTTTTGAAGATATTGGAAAACTGAAATTTGAAACTTGACTTGAAAGGGGTTTTTCAAAACCATATAAAACCAACAGGAATACAAAGAGTACATTTTTAAAGATTTATTCTTTTCTTTATCATGGACACTAGGGCTGTGCAATATATAGAAATTATCGAAATATCGCAAATGTACATATCGCAGTATGCATATCGCTACAGCTTGTAATATTTGGGGCCATGAACAAAAGACAAAGAGAAAATCACTCACTGCTCTTACCTAAATAACTTTTGTAGTTTAAATAAGAATCAGTGCATATTGAACACTCATATATCACTGACCCAAGTTTTAAAGAGCACTTGATTGACAGCTGCTGGCCAGACTTTGATGCCCCATCTTGACCTCTGCACCAAATCAACTCAACAGAGAACTAGCCGCTCATTATAACACAGCACAAACTTTGTTTCTCGCAGCTGTTTAATGGCTCCTCTGTTTTTGTTTGTGGTTTTTTTTTCTCGCCGTAAGGTTATTGCACCTTTATGGCTGATCGGGGGTTGGAATAATCCTCGACATCTGTTCGGGGAGTGGGTGGGGGATGCCGACGTTTGGCTTTTATTTACTGGACCAGGCCTCTCGGCTCATCCCCCTAGCTCTGAGGTTGGCATGTTGACTTTTAATGGGAAAACGATGAAGAAGAAGAATCTCAAATGGGCCTCAAGGTCAATTAAGGAGTTTCGCCCCCAGCTATCTTTCTGACTTGTAAAACAAACATTACTCACAAGCACTGTGGTAAATTAGCACCATGCACCAAGGACTTATTTTATTTTCTGAACCGCACACATGAACTGTTTTAAATGAGTGTTTAGTAAGATCAAGTTTTCTCTTTTTTAATTAGCAAAACAAATTAAGTGCAAGTGTAGTTACTGCAAAACTTGGTTTATATTTGTGAAGATCCCGCTTACAGCTTTTGAAAAATACAATATAGTAACTCATCTGTAGCATTTTCAGTTTGGCAAGCCATGGCAAGTGTGTGTGTTTTTTATTAAGGAGAGGTTCTCTTCCTCTTCTCCATGGTCATATTCCACAGCATCTTCCTCTCGTCCTTGTCTCTTTCCCTCTGGCCTTGATGACAGGAGGGCAGAACGTTAATCAGAACAGTGCTATGCTATCTCTCAGACAGCACCTGCAGGCCATCACCAACTCCAGCGTTCTCTGTGTGGGCACTGCCAGTCTTGGCACCCTGGTACCTCGAGGGATGGCTCTACTGCCAACTGTGACAGAATTAAAACATAGAGTTACTGACTATAAATATATATTACACCTCCTAAGGGCAACTGAATACCATTGGTTTTTGGGAATCGAGTAGAATTTGGGCTATTATTGATAGGCTTACAGTGTTTAATTAGGTTAGTAAATAAAATCTTGTCAAGCTCAGAATATTGAAATTGATTGTAGTGTGATGGATTTACATTGTGTAGACTGCTTGACGTAATGTTCTAGAAAGTAAGCTTATTGATTGACCGTTTTTTGGTGAACCACTATTTAAGTGATTTCAAAGAAAAGCCATTTGAATTTTAAACCAGTAATGAAATCAAAGTAGATCACTTTTATGCTGGTACAGTATGTGCCTGTGATTAATCTTTTGGATCTGCATGTAACATTACTGCCAGAAACTAATACATAAATAGTAAAGTTTCAAGAAAACATTTCTCATCACAAATGCTCTTAAACTCTGTGTCAGCAATGTTGTGGCAAGTCTTTACAAATCTTTTCTTAAAGCTGTTTATTCCATTTCATCTTAATTTACCCAGAACAATGTGCTAAGATCAGTAAATAATTGGACTCCTTTTTGATAACATCATTTGTGTCCCTCCGCATTTCCTGCTGTCTTTGTATGACAAATGCCCTCAGTGTGAAATGAATGGCTGGCTGTCACAGGTAATCATGAGGTTGCTTGTAAGTACCCGGTCTGCTTTCATTTCCCATGATTAGCTTTGTGAAGGAATGATGGGATACGTTTCACTCATCCACTTGTCTCTTTTGTTGGGTGACAGTGATGACTGGGTTAACATCGGTACCAGAAATCGCATCATCTGCTGTCATGCTTGTTGTGCATCCCAAGAAATGATTTCTCTTTTGTTACAGCAATCAAACAGCCACTGTAAGGAGGTTTTCATCTCATTCACGTCTTCACATAATATAATGTGAGCTTCAGACAATGAGGGAGCAACTACGTCCACAAAATCCTCTGAATGCAATTTCCACAGTGCTGTTCCTGAGCCTGCGATTCGGTTTAGAATGCAACATAGTCTTAGATAGACATTTTAAAATTGATTTTAATGCATGTTTAATTCTGAGTGCACTTTACAATCCATTCATTTCAGTTTATTAATGCACACATGTTAAAAGGCTGTTGATATTCTCTAACAGTAACGCCTACCTGTCTTTCTGTCTTCTGTTTGACAGGAAATTGCAGCATACTTGATAACATTTGAAAAGCATGAAGAATGGTTGACAACATCCCCTAAAACAAGGTAAGAATATCCATCTTGTCAACTGACCATCAGAAATCTCTTTCCCCCCAGAATTCCAGGTTTTATCGCCGTGATGTTCAAATGAAGCCATTAGCTGGAGTTTCCCCAACAACCCACTCGAGGATCTCCGCTATCTTAAAAGTTGGGTTAAAAAAGAGTTAGCCTGACAGTTAATTGATTATTAATGTGGACTAATAACTGCAAATAGCCTATTAGCAGAGCTCTTAGCTCAATGCTCTGCTCTCATTTCTTTTGTGAGAGCGATGGTAATGTGTTCATATCTAACAGCAAATTAAACGTCCTCTAATAAATGAAGGTGTGAGCTGAAAGCTGTCTAGCTGCTCAGAAGTAGATGGTAGGTGTTGACTGACATTGAAGAGGGAAAAGTGAGCATGCCACGTCTATATGCGCATGCACCTGAATCAATCTGTCATCTTGGTTTATGGCTGATAACTCGCCCTGGGGTCTGAAGCAGCTCTGGTGAATTTACATCTTCCCAAGCCCCACAAGAGTAGGATTTGTGTATTTTTAAATAGACTGACTATTAGGGGTGTGCGATATTGACAAAAAATAATATCTTGATATTTTCTGGGATTTTATCGATAACGATATTTTGCTAAGTGTGTTATTGTGCTGGTACTTTGAGGACTGCCGTGGACAGCCGACTCCTAAAGTTTTTGTCATTCTTCATATTCTGTGTGGTGGTCAGTTCACATTGATAGAAATGAATCTTTTCCAATAAGTTTAAATTGACTTTTACATTTTATGAGCATTTTTACTTTTATAAAGTCATTTTTTCTAAAAGTACTCATCACCTTTTGAGTAAAATTCTTACATTTAATCAGTGAATTAGAATAATAAGACATTTGGGCTGTTATCAAGCAAATGAAATCAGTATCAACAAAATTCATCTTTGCAATGCAGAGGAAACACAGAAGCTGCATCTGAAGAGGCATTTAGATATATTTACACACTTTTTAGTGCAGAACATGAATGCATTTAACCTGCAATTACAAATGCATAAATAATGTTGTGATTTATTAAACATAAATCGTTAAATACTGATATTTGAAATTATTTAAATAATAAAAAGATACTTTAAATGTGAAATTAAAACCACTAGTAGGTGTCAGCAAGTCACTATTAAGGGAGTCATTGCGATTGAACAGAATCATTTTACGGTTGATTCATTAAGGAATGAAACACCGTCATGTTGCTCAGAGACGCAAAAGAGTGCTGTGGCTGTGTTTTGGATTATTTTTGTTATCGAAATAGAGCAAAAACAGGAAATATGGTGTTTAAAACGTTAGTCTCTTAATTAACTTCTTGTTTATTGAACTATTGTAAAAAAAAATCTATATCACATTTGTAATCATGGTCATTTTTGGAGGAAAACGGCACTCTTCGTGTGAAATTGATTAACTATATGAAGTGGTGTAAATATATACATTTTCTGCCCCCATGTCTTGAATTTGTGATCATTTTAAATGCATTTGTTAGACTGAATCATGCAGTGAAAGAGAACACTCTAATATACGCGCACTAGTCACTCTAAGACTACGTCATCATGTATGCGTGCACTCTGTAGGGGTGTTTTGCATAGATTTGGCAAAAAACTCGATAATGTCAAATCGCACATCGTTAAAACAACAAATATGATATTATCGCAGACGATATATATCGCACACCCCTACTGACTATACACTTGATTGGCTGTAAGCCAGGTCAGCGGTGGTGGATTTTATGTGTAATGGAGTGGCACTTATCCAGCATCAATGATGCTGCTGATGCAGACGATTCAGAGTTAGGCGGGGACAGTGGTTGCCGCTGTGGCTACTCTGGCTGTTTGGCCTATCTGGGATAGCAGGATTTGGGGGACTACTTCATAAATAATCGAACCTGTCAAGAACATGTCTAAGATGTGTTTAACCATAAAATCTAAATAAATGAATACATTTTGATGAAACAAATTACTGTAATGTGAAGAAAACAACAAAATGTTAAGTTCTGTATTTGTAGTATTTTTTACATCATGGTAGTATTCGTTTGTTAATTTTTTAATTATTTTATTTTATTATTTTATTATTTTTTCTTACAATTACATAATCTAATGAGAAATGTAAAAAAAGGGTCTAATATGTTAAAAAATGGCACAGTGCAATAAATAAATAAATAAATACATACCATACATACATGGATGAATGAATGAATGGATGAATGAATGAATGAATGAATGAATGAAGCCCTGTCCACAGTGATCTCATTGGTTGAAAATTCTGTTCCACATAGTTGTTACATATTAAATATAGCTGATTGTGTATTTTGGCTTAGTTCACTTTCAGTGCAAACAGGAAAAAAATGCTATACTCTGTAAATTTGTTGTATCCCACCTGGTTAGGACAGAGTGTAAGAGTGTCTTCAATCACCAAGAGTAAAACTCACTCCGCACAGACAGTAGATGCAACCAATCATTAAAAAGAGATAAGAGTAGGAAGGTTACTTGAAGGTGGGGGAGATTTTTGGGAAAAACTACATTTAATTTATCCTCCGATGCACAATGTCAGGTCTCTTATGGTGTAATATTTTAAGAAGCTTATAGTGTGGGCACACACACTGTGTATCAGTGTGTGTACGTGCCAGGGTTTAAGTCTGTGTGTTTCTTCAGTCTATTTTCCTAGCCTCAGGTTAAGCCCTCCAGTCTCCTGTTCTATCCAGTTTGTCGAAACAGAACAGTGCTTTCTCCATCTCCCGCCTGCTTCCAGAAGGAAGTCCCACTTCTCTCCCAATTAGAGAGAGTCGATTTTATACTATTAGACAGCTCAGAGTCCCTTCTCCTCAGTGCCAGACACTGGAAACTGCTCACTCTCATGCTTTGCTCCAGTCTGCACATAGGAAGTGCTGGGCGTCATCGGCACAGAGTAAAACCAAAGCTGATGAGGGATCCCACCATCTTTCACTTGTTCATAGTGTATTAAACAGTGTAATCTCTTTCTCTCTCTATATATATATTTTAATTTCTGTCTTCCATCCTACAACTGACTAGTCAATTTGTGAGGTAATTTGTGACAGGGGTGTTTGCATGATATATCCCCGTCAAAGTTTTAAATTTGTCCACTTTTACTTTGTTATAGACAATCTAATGGCCATTGCAAGGTCCTTGATTGTTGCATTGTTGTTTTAGCAGTTTGTCATGGTCGCTGCATTTTTAATACTGAGTTTAAATTTAAAAACTGCCCAGATTTTAAAAAGACAAGAACATATCTTATATAAACGCCCCATAAGAATGGGACAATCGAGGTCAGATGACCCCAAATCCAGCCTATAATTATATATGGTCCATATAAGAAAAATTAGTCAGGCAACAAACTACTTGATTTTGAAAAGACGTAGTTTTGCACATCGCTATTAACAATCCTAATTCATGTGCAAATGGACTTTGAGTACTCCAACTTCCTCCCAATTTTTCTCCCTGCCTGTAAGGGACATTGATAATGGCTGGACATAAAGCAAAAGCCAATTATAAGACATTTCCTTGTGTAATTGCTAGAGATGAGTTGAAGAGCACCCCGTCGGCTTTTTATCTCCAACACAAAAAAATGAGCCCATGAATAAAGTGTACTTCTCTGCGCTCACTTATTACAGGCTCCGCGCTCAGTAATGTGTATTATCACTGGCTAAAAGAAGATTGGGAGGAGCTCTAGTGCACACTGTATGCAGTGGAATGTTGTAATGGCAGTTACGGCACACGCTCAGGGCTTTTTGAATCCAGAATGGTGACCAGACAGTGATCCTTTAAAGACTCTATAAAATCAGAATGAGAGTTTTGTGGCTTATAGTCTATGTCTTGCAACTTTAAAGCCATCTTGTGCACTTCTGAAAGAACTTTTTAAGAAAAAAAAGAACTTTTATCAAATTTACCAGATACACATTTAAAATGAGTCATCTTACATCTATATGCAGTATATACAGTGGGTACAGAAAGTATTCAGACCCCCTTAAATTTTTCACTCTTTGTTATATTGCAGCCATTTGCTAAAATCATTGAGATTGCCCCTTTTCTTCTAATAGTAATTATTGTAGATTTCATTTATTCATTTTCAGTTAAAGGGGTCATATGATGTTGCTGAAAAGAACATTATTTTGTGTATTTGGTGTAATGAAATGTGGTATTTGAATTGTTATTTAGTAGGGGTGTGACGAGACACTTATCCCACAAGACGAGATGAGACACGAGACTGGGTTCACGAGAACGCGACGGGACAAGATTTTTAGACTTTTTAAAAGAAATGCTCTATGATGAAATATATAGGGGAAAATAGTCTTTTATTCAACTGAAAAACACAAAATGCAAAAAAGTAGGTGCATTTTGAAATCAACTTGTACTTTATGAAATTAAACATCTATTTTAATCAATTTTATGCAGTAATAAACAACATGTAAACACTGCAAAATGTTTTGCCACAAACTCAACTGACAGGCAAGTAATTGCACAAAAATTATAAATAGTATAAATAAAAATAAATAAAAAAACAACATAAATATCCCTTTAAAGTGGAAAGTCAAGTTTACATTATTTAGTAAACTGATTTCCACTTTAATAAAAAATATATATAATAAACACAATTAATGGATCCGTTTTAAAGAATAAAGTAGTGGTTCCCAAACTGGGCAGCGCAGCAAGGCTGAGGGATAGTGTACAGTCTTCTTTTGCAAAAGAAGCCTCTGCAGGGTGATAAAGAATACACTGTGTAATTTTCCCGCTTATCATGAGGCCACTTGCCTGATAAGTAAATAATTGAACGCAAAATATTGATTTGACATTTTAATTACCTCAAAATGACTTGCAGTACCTGCTTTAGCGCACCGTTATCAGTTGTAGCAGTTGTGGTTATATCAATAACAGACCACTAGATGGCGCGATTGAAGAATCAGAGTTGTATTGCAGGGAGCCATGTAGAAATATAAATGAACGATGCATGGTTCTGCTCTAAACATGTAAG